ATGAAGTACAGTTTCTCAGATATGCCTAAAACATGTTATTTCAGAAGTTTCTGTGTCTGATTATTTCACTATTTTTTTGGTATCAAGTGCATTTTCTCTTATATGGCTAAAACATGTTATTTCAGTAGCATTCCTTAACACAAGTGCTCTTGGTACTGATGCTGAGTTTTGCTAAATATAAGCTACCTTTTGTATTACATTGTCTGCAAATAATTTTCAGTGGTAGACATAGTTTATGTTTCACTTTCGTTAACAAAATTATTCCTTCACTGTTAGCAATGATAAGCATTTATTTATTTAGCCAAAAAAAATTTTCTTCTAACTGTGCAATATCTTTGCTTTATTTTAGCAGCCAAATACAATTATTTAATCTGTTTTAATGCTCAAAGGTTAATGTAAACTACTTAAACTAAGTTGCATTTCATCTAGAAAGTTGTTGATATTTTATTTTCGAACTTCTTTAATTGATCTTACCCTTTATTTTTAAAATATGTTTTATTGTGCTGCGTTTAAGCATCACACTCCAGTGTTAATGTGAGCAATCACTGCCCTTAGTTTTCAGCAAATTTTATCCTGAAAATAATTTAACAGTTTTTCATTTTTATCATGTTGTTAGTGGAGAAAATAAAATAGAAACCGCTACCTTCTGCATGGACTTGTATTTAACAATTTATTTATATATCTGTAACGTGTAGCAATGATTTTTTTTTCAGAACATATAAAAATTGTTGTTTGTTTTGCATTTCACAAAATGTATTTCACTCAATTATTCCTTCTGTTACCTCTCTAATAAGTGACAGTTACAGAAAAGCTTTATTGTATTGTTTATGATGGCAATTAACAAAAAGTATGATGCATTTATGTTTAGGTTAGTTAAACCTAAGAGGGTTTACCTCTGTCAGATTTAAAGATTTGTTTAGTCTGGTATCAGATTAGCAAGGATAAACAAGGACTTGTTTATGTCTGAGTAAGGTTAATGTATAGACATTTCTCTGTCTTTTATCCCCACAAGAACTTCTGTCTGTCAGAGTGTGGTTGATGTATAGACTTTTCTCTCAGCCTGTTATCTCCACAGGAACTTCTATCAGTCAGAGTGAGGTTGATGTAAAGACATTTATCTAATTCTGTCAAAGTACGGTTGATGTATAGACATTTCTCCCAGTCTGTTATCTCCACAAGTACCTCTATCTGTCAGAGTGCAGTTGATGTATAGACATTTCTCTCATTGTTATCTCCACAATAACTTCTATCTGTCAGAGTGCAGTTGATGTATAGACATTTTTCTCATTGTTATCTCCACAATAACTTCTATCTGTCAGAGTGCAGTTGATGTATAGACATTTCTCTCATTGTTATCTCCACAAGTACTTCTATCTGTCAGAGTGCAGTTGATGTATAGACATTTCTCTCAGTCTGTTATCTCCACAAGAACTTCTGTCTGTCAGAGGGCGGTTGATGTATAGACATTTCTCTCAGTCTGTTATCTCCACAAGAACTTCTGTCTGTCAGAGGGCGGTTGATGTATAGACATTTCTCTCAGTCTTTTATCTCCACAAGAACTTTTATCTGTTGGAGTGAGGTTTATATATAAACATTTCTCTCAGTCTTTTATCTCCACAAGAACTTTTATCTGTTGGAGTGAGGTTTATATATAAACATTTCTCTCAGTCTTTTATCTCCACAAGAACTTTTATCTGTTGGAGTGAGGTTTATATATAAACATTTCTCTCAGTCTTTTATCTCCACAAGAACTGTCTCTTCCGGACTGAGCATGCATGGAAATGTCCAGAGTGCTGTGATGCTAATTCTCAACTCAACTCAACTCAACATGGGCAAGGAATAGCACTGTGCAGTGGTTAGCACATTTCACATTATATCTGATGTGTTAAGACATTGTCATGAGATTTTTGTGTGCGACGTTTCTAAGTTTTTATATGATGATATCTCTGAGATTTGATTTGTTATGCTACATTTTCTAGTCATTTCGGTCAGTTACTTAATTCGTTAGATGAAGTTTTAATTTTTTTAACTTGGAAATCGGAAGATTTTTAAAAACTTTAAATGTATTGAATATGGTTGTTAATTTAGCGTAAATACCATACTAGACAGTCGGTGTCTGTGGCTTGGAGTTGCGAATTCACTTCGTAATGCTTATGTGCCGGTTTTGATCCCAGATGCAGACTATTCGGCAGTTGACCACCTTGTGTTGGTTTTGACATTGGTATTGAGAGCTGACCATTTAGTAAGCAGTGGCAAACTACGGAACATAACATTGCCTAGTAAAATCACAAACAGCCCCCAAAAAATGATGTGCTTGGTTCAACAGCATCCTTTAATGGATGCACAACTAACTATACTCCTTTAATGGATGCACAACTAACTATACTAGATAACTTTCAGCCTATACAGGGAATTTATTGATAATATTTAAAAGCTTTACTGGTGCATTTTACTTCTTTTGGCTGCAGCAGTTATTTTTTCATTGTGGATAATATTGTTAGAACATTAGAGGAAAGCTGTAGTTTAAATAAAGAATAATTCACTTACAATAATTATTTGAGTTTATTCATTTGGTGTTGTGTTTGCTTCTTCTTGAACTGAAAAGACTTAGGAGCTGTTAGATCCACTGTTAAATACAAATCAGGAAAACAAGCTGGAAAACAAGCTGATTTGTCCTAATTTTTGTCAGGAGATGTCACCTGAAACAGAAGTATTTCTTCTCTGTAATAAACTATGCTTGTGAAGGACATTTTGCATAGGCAAGAAAATTCACTGACCCAGTATTTTTTTTAAATAATGCTTTTACTCAATCAGTTAGTTAGTTAGTAAGGGACCATCTTCACAATTATATTCAGTAGTAGTAGATCTCCAAGACTCTCTCCCTCTCGCCTTGACTTTACACTATCTGAAACTGCTGTTTATCCATTTCTTTATGTTATCTACTCATTTATATTGCTGTCCACCTCTTTCCTGACTAAAGTAGTTCTTTACCAGATGGTCAGTCATATACTGTTGAACAAACAAATTAATGAACTTTATTTTCAGAGGGTCACAAACGAGCTTACCTACTTATATCATAAAACACACATACATATATATGTCAAACCACATGATGCATGCATTTACACACACATACCCTCATGCATGTCCACACACATGCACAGACACACATATACACACCCAAACAAACTGTCTTAGCATGTAGGTAGTGAGAACTTCAGGCATACACATGAGAATTCAAGGTTAACTAACTCTTGATATATATATATTCATCTTTCCATACTGAAAATGGTAACAATTGTGTACCACCACTGTTTATGAGAACTGGAGTGGGGTTTATTCACAGTAAGTCTCCTGAGTGCAAGAAACATCACACCATCTTTATCATGTGCCATGAAGGTAGACTGGAATGAGTTTCCTCAGCACCCTATGTACTTTGTCTTCACAGTGCCTGCATATAAGATTCCAGTTCATCTCTTGATATTGCTCTGCTACCTGTAATGCTGCCTTCTTTTACCTGAGAGTAATGGAGTAAATAAGCAAATTTAAATCTGTTGTTGGTCAAATACATGCCACAACAAGACACATGTTTTGACATCACAGATGTTTCATCCTACACATTATAGAAGATATTTCACTTTCCACCTACCAGTGAATCACTATCACCAGAAAGTGCACCACAGAAAGCTCTGTCACTTAGACGTAATGGAAGCAAAACTAGAGGTCGACCAAGTAAATAAGGATAGATGGAATATCCCAGACTGTAAATAACAGTATATATGTAGCATATAAAAAGTCACGCACCTGATGCCTCTCCAAAACCTGAGCTGAAAGGCAGAACACGAAACTGAGGAAGAGAAAAAAAAGAAATTCAAATGTTGCCAGATTGTGTAAGGTTATACAAGTCTTCTAGTCACAAAAAGAAACTAACATTAACTCATTTGGTCTTTGTGAGTTATAAATTGACATGGCAGCACTGGAGACATTCTCATAAGCGCTCTGTCTCTATCTTCAGCACAGACTTCCAGTTCTGTTGGCACCAGTGACAGTCTGAACGTATATCTGTCTCACCTTTCTCTTAAATGTTGAGCGTTAGCCTGATCCTCGGATCACTCTTCGCAGCACAATTCTTCTTAGACGTGGTTGATTTATGTGTGCCTCCACACATTTGGTCTTTAAGATAACATAAAACACATTTCAAATGGTGCTTATTTAAAACTGGTTTTGAGGCAAATTTCTTATAAGAATATAAGAATGTATGCCATGAAAGAATTTAACATTTCTGTGAAAAATGATAGTGAAATCAGCTGGATTCTCAGGATACAAAAATTAGTATAAGAAGAAATATTATAGTAATAATCAAAGTCTGTCTGTCCTTAAAAAAGCCAAGACAATAACAGCAAGACTACTTCTCATGATCAGAATTCTCCTTGTGTGTGTTCTTTGTTGGTGGAGTCAGTTATTCCGTTATTAACCACAAATGGCTGTAACATAAGCTGACATTTCTGGCCTCTCTTACCTCAAGTTTATTTTATTTTCAATCACTAATGAAAAATATCTGCCTATTTATGACAAAGGAAACCCTGATAGTGTATTTTATTTCAGGCATGAACACATATATTCCCTTTCTGAATTCATTAATTAGAATGGTTTAAATAATAATGTTTGTTTCTAAGAAAAACGAATACCATATTATGATTAACAAAGTTTATTAGATTATGCTTCTAGTTCACTTCATGTTGGGTGTTATCTTCACAACTATTAATTGTATTACTAGTGATTTCTGTAAGTAAATAAGGAACTCTTCTTATCGAACTGGCACATCGGGCATGTATGCAAGAGCAGCATTGGGGGGGGGGGGGGGGGGGTGTAGGTCAAAATCATGCTGGTTGCCTTAACTGTACGAGATGTTTTCTAGGTATTTTAGACTGGGTCTAGCTGGATGTTGTATTATTATAGAGTTTGTAATATTTAATATGCCTACTTTTTTATCTGTTTAGGGATGAATGACACTCAAGGCACTCTCTCAAAAGCAGAACGTAAAAGGCAACAAGCCATTCAAGAACTCATCAACACGGAGGAATCATACAACAGTGACATGCAAATTGCGTTAGAGGTAGGTTGATCTTAAACTAAGTTACTGTGATTTTATATTGTTAGAATTGTGTGTGTGTGAATGTAATCCAGCTCTAAATTATATAATTATAAAACTCTTCCGTCACTCTCCCATTTGAAAACTAGTGAAAAATATCTTAGACTCAGCAAAATCCTGAAGTCTGCACACATAAAGTAAATGTATAAGGCAGCTGTTGGATGTGCCAACACTAACAGTCCCACACCAGAATTGCAGCTGCTCACAGTTGATGCAAGCAGTCATTGACGAAAGCTGGCACATTACTGTTTAGTACACACAATTGTGAACGTAATTTGCTACCTACCGTTTTTAATGCAGGTCACAACACAAAACCATCGAGATGACAAAACAGGAAAAATATATTCCACAAGAAATCCACAGCTCACAGTGTGGCAACAAGCACTGATATCAGTAGCTGAGAGACAAAACCTGTTGATCCTTGTCCAAAAATTGCCATTTTGCATCATCAAACACTGGCTATACACAAATAACTTTTTCTAAGAACAGGTTGTATTTCATAGAAATGAAAACAATTAGATAGAGAGGTTCTGGAAAGATGTGAATGAAAACAAAATTAGTGACTGAAATTTTAAAAAATGACAATTAAAATACTTTGACCAAAAAGGCATTAAAAAAGGCATTAGTATGCTTTTAACAACAAATTCTAGAGGAAATGGTCGAGAGCAGGAGACCTAGAAGTAGATAAAGATACAAGTGGAAGGACATTGTCAAGAGGTGGACGAACCACAGTTTGAAAAAGTATACAGCCAAGACAAAATAAAAAGAGTGTTTGAGGCCTATTGCAGCCAGCCTTTAAAAAAAAAATGATGGCCCTCACCTCTTTCAGAAGATCTGGTTTGCTCTTTTTGGCTGTCAAAGGAATTCTAAGAATTCTTCTGTAAAATCACATCTCTGAGGTCACAAGCTATTGGTGCATGTAGGTACTAGTATTATTTGTCTGTAGCTGTATGTCTCATTGTCAGGAAACATCATTGTAAATATTGAACATTTACTTCTACAGGTCTTCAAGAAGCCACTGCTCAACAACAATGTAATCTCTGCCGAATTAGTAAACCTGATGTTTGTTAACTGGGAAGAACTGATTGTTTGCAACAAAAAGTTTTTACAGTAAGCCACTATGTATGACTTTGATTACTACCAGTTAAGAAGCCTCAGTTCTCTCATTATAAATATTTGTAAAAAGTATTTTTGTGCTGTAACAGTCTTAGTCGAGGTTTCAACTTCACTGCAATCATCACCCCATACTTGCTTTGTTTCTGTGCCAGTGAAAATTATATGAAATGTCCCTCACTGTCCCATTTGAAAAACGTGACTAATTAGTCCCTGCCCAATCCAGAAATATGCGCACGCAGTAACATGTGGGCTGGTGAAATACCAGATGTAATAATTCGACTTTTGTATAGAAAACTTATCATACCCGACTACTTTCATCAATGACAAACTGTATTTCTGGTGGTGACTGTTGGCTTTGGCGCCTATAGCAGCTGCTGTAACAGTAGTGGGTACTACCTGCTCTAGCAACTACTATGACAGTAGTGGGTGCTACCTGTTCTCTCTGAATGCTGAATGTTGGGCAGCATATACCAAACCTGACGTACCACATAATGCTAATGGCTTCCAGTGGAGGAGCATTGGGAAACATACTAATCTTATCTAAGGAAGAAAAAAGGCAACCTCAAGACTTATTGTTATGGCAGATCAGACCAGGACTTATCTTGGTTGGCCGCTGGTCTAGGAAGGAAGCTCTGATCCAGAGCTTCTGCAGCATGCTTTGTTCCAAACATATTGGTGTTACATTTCCTTTAGTCCCGAAGCAGATACTGATGTAGGTTGAATGTGTTAGTTAGGCTTTACATATTTAGGACGCCATATAATCAAATGTGGTGACAAATTCTCATTTTCTTCACCTTTCTTTCTCACACAATTCTAACAAAATTATGAAAGTGATCTGGTGTTAATTTTATAAGGTATGCTACCTTGGCTTATTATGTGTAATAATAATAATAAATAATGTTGATCAGCACTCATAGGAAGAAGTAGAAAGATAGAAGGACACATTAGACAATGTAAAAGTTTAAAGCTATAGTTATCATGCACTGAATCACTAAGGTCATCACATAGGGCTCGCAGTCTAATTGAACTGTTCTAGCTTGTAGAATCTTCTCAATATCATGGATGAAATCCAATCCAGCATCTTCTTTTAGTAAGATAAATCTGAGGGTTTCTCTTGTGTGTCCTTGTTTCCTGTCCATTTGTTGCCTGTTTGAGTGCTTGTGTTTAGTATTATACTACAGAATGGTTGTTTAGCCTAATGAGTCAGTGAAACATGTTTACGTTAAAATCATTATAAATTGTAAGCTAAAATTAAAACTGTTCAACTACTCATGCAAGGACCATTCATTCTGAACGTTCTGTAGTGTGGACTAAAGGGCTATCAAATGCAGCATGTCTTCATTCTCACACTTCCAATTAATACACTGCATTAATTAGTAATGAGAAACTTTAGACAGTATGATTACCAAGAGAAGATGAAAATGGCTTGGCCACGTTTTGAGAATGACTTCTGATATACCTGCCAAAACAGCTCTCACATGGACACCAGAGGGAAAGAGAAAACAGGGGCGCCCAAAAACAACATGGAGACGAACGATGGAAAGTGACCTGAGTGCAGCATCTTTGACATGGAAATCTGCACTGAAGATTGCACAGGACAGGAAAGCATGGAAAGTCCTCTCTGAAGCCTCATGTGCCACTAGGCATAACGAGAACTGATGATGATGATGATTAATTAGTAATGACTGTCTTTTACATGAACAGAGAAGCTCTATCCAGATTTGTGGCTTGCATAATGTGGGAAGATAAACAGAAGATGTCCTCAAGAAGCAGAATTCAGGTGTGCAGGCTACTAGATCGATCTAGGTTTTAATCCTCACAAAAGCTAAGAATTGTTATCTATCAGAAGTGTAATACAAATCAGCCTGTAGACTGCATGGCTCTAAACCTAGGACAAGCAAGCAATCTTATTTCCCTCAATCTTTTAAACTGCTGCTAACAACACCAGCGGTAGAACAAATGCTCTAATGATTGTGCTATAATCTATCAGTACCATGATAGTACAGAGTGGCAACATGAGCTTTTCAAACACAACTCAGGAAGAATCAGTTAATCATGCAAAAAACCTGAAATTAACTTCAAACTTTAAGAAAATTATGGTCATTTTAAATAAATAAAAAATCCAATCTTTAAAAGAAATTGAAATGATTTCTTATTTGTAATATACTTAGCAAGACCATTTTTTTTTTTTTTTTACATTTTGATTATTACTTTCTTCTCAAAAATACTTGCAGTAGTAAATGTAAGATTTTATGAAAAATGATTGTGCTGTATAGAATTATTTACGTTATCCGCCTATTATGGATTTCATGTTAATGCTTTAATACTGAACTTAATTTCTACAGAGCTCTCCGTGTAAGGAAGAAAATGTGTGGCAAAAATGGTGTTATTGACAGTATTGGTGACCTCTTGTGTGAAAGTGTAAGTTTCCCAGCAAAATTAGATAAATTTTTTTTTAATTGATTGCACTTTTGCTTGAAAGTTTCACTTTTTAAAAGTGTAGTGAAAATATATTTTGATTGTTTCTTTTATCTGTGTGTGTGGATGTTTTCTAAGCAATGTTAGACAAGATAATGTCTTCTTATTCTGTGTTTCCGGTTTCCTGTTTGTGTCAAGATGGCGGGACGTGTTTCTCTCTAACTCGGCGCATATCGGTTGATCGACGGTCCGACAAGCTGTCATCGCAAACCACCAATTGTTGTAGAATCAGATTTCTGGCTCTAACTGCAGGATGATTCGTTCTAATCTGTTAAATTCATTGGACACCACAGGGGAAAAGATCTCGTGGAAGACCAAGGGAAACCCTACGTAGAACTATCATCAGGGAAGGCTCGCTTATGGGCCACTCAAACATCTAAGACCTACAACAGATTGCAACGAACCACCATGCATGGAGAGTCATGACCTCTGCCCTATGTGCCGCACTCGACACAAGAGGACAGACTAACTAACTAACTAATTCTGTGTTTGCCCTTTAAAGATGGTGTGGACAAATTGAATAGTGGTTTACTGCTAGACTGCAGTATTTGGGCCTTCCAGTCCAACGCATCCCATTTTGACAAACCTCTAATAAAGGCAGAGGGTCTGTTTCCTCCTCCCCTCCCCCCAAACTCTTGCTCTCATCACAGTCTGCCTGAAAGAAACTCGGTCTCTCCCCAGTTCTCCCGCCTCATGCACTTTCACACTCAAAAAGTCACTTATATCCTGTGCCAATCTTCGTGTCGGTCGGCCCCTGCCCCTCCTTCTTGGTACCATGCCTTCTGCTATAATTTGGCTTCCATGATGAGTTTCTTGGGATAGTAATGTGGTAGTTTCCCATTGCTTTCCACATCCACATGGCTTTAGATCATGTCCACAGCCTTCAGCAACCTTTTCGATTGCTAGAGCAAGTGAGTGCTCTGCTCTGTGATGCTCCTGCTAACAGCAGATGGTACCCCAGAGGTGTCCACTTATCCCGGCTGTACCTGTACTGGGAGGATATAGTCTTGATTGGTTGCATTTTATAAAAGTGTTAATTACTCAATCAATGCTTACAGTTTGTTTTGCTTTTGAAATAATTAAATTTACTTAAAATTCAGTGAAAGCACTAGTGAAATTTAAACAGTCACTGTGTGAATTGAAAGACAAATAGATAGATATTACAGATTTTTTCAGTTATGAATATTTTAAGAGTTTCTTTAGATAATAAGCACAGACTAAAAAAAAAATTGTAAATGATTTGAATATTATATTTACCTTAGATATGCAATGAAATATTTTTGTAGTGTACCACTTATGAGCCGCAACATTGTTAATGTCAAAGCCCACAGAAACATAAATTGAAAAAAAAAAAAAACTACCTACATCTTTTATCATCATATCATCATCATAACCATCCTGTTGTCTTTTATACTTCACATAGGGCTCACACTCTAATACTCCATTCTGCTCCTATGTGCTCCTTTTGATATCATGGATGGAATCCAGTCCAGCTGCTCTCATCAGCCTTCATATTAGGATTTCTCTTGGACGTCCTCATTTCCTCAACCTGTCTGTTTGCAATTGCAAATCATTTTGGTGATTCTCTGGACGCTTTTTTGTGTGTGGATTTTCCTTGTATAGCACCACCCTTTTTGTCTTATAACTGTCATTTCCTGTGACCGTCTAGAGAATTTTCCTAGTTCTTCACATTTCTTGAATTCATGAAATTTAATGTTAGTCAATTCCCCAGGCATTTCTTTATTATTTAATTTTCTTTTCATGTCTTTAGTATTTCTTTGTCACCCTAGTTCTTTGCTCGTAAATGTATTTATTGCTATAAGTTATTATTTGCTGCATGCCTACTGTTATTTGTTTTTCCATTACTCAGTCATAGCAAGGGAAACAACGTATTACAGATTTTAACAGTTAATGCAGAAGTGAATATTTAAGTCTATTTAACACTTTACCTACATGATGTAAAAACCTAATGTGGCACATTTAATTTATTTACACCATTTTTTCCCCCCAACTTGGGGCATGTTACAATACCAGTTTATAATTTTGCTAACTGTAATCATAAGTTTATGAATGATTTTCTGTTTTAAAGATAACTGAATGTGCTGTTCAAATAACATTGCAGGTACTTATCATGAACCTGAGTTCCAAATTAACGCTGAGGCCGCTCCCATAGCCTGTCCCATGTTGTGGGAGTGTCATATATTTCTTATTTTCAATGGTTTAACCATTGTCTCTTTTCTCATGTTGTCACCGCTCACTTGCGTGATTAGTTTCATGTTGTGCTATTTGCCCGATGGTTCGTGTATATCGAATTTGTGATGTTTTTGTATTTCTACATTCCTTGTTAGTGGCTTCTTTTTCTCGGGGGAAGCTGCCACCAAGGGACACAGAAATTCAAAATCATCCCAGTTTCGATTCTCACAAACAGTCACGACTTTGACGCTTCCCCCTGCTGTACTTCTTACTTGTACACAGGTGCCTGCATCACCTCAAAGAGACAACACAACATCCCACAAACATTATATACGATGAGCAGAGCACAGAGCAACAACCCCACAACATAGGACAGGCTGTACAACCAGCCACGGCATAAATGGGAAGGAAAGGAAATCTCACCATGGGAGCAAGTTCTTGACAAGTTCCTAACATTGAAGTTACTTCATTTTCTGCCCCACTCTCTCTGGACTTCAGGTTACTCTGTAACCGTCAGCCGCTCCAATATAAACTTGCAGTTAAACAGGGTTCCTAGGATTTCTCCTTGTGTGATTCTCATAAAGCATGGATAACACCAGAAACCATTAAATTGATTGAAGACAGGAAAAGTAAAAAGGCAGAATTAAACAATAGCAAAACTAGAGCTGCTAAAGCTAGAGCTCAGGAGAATTACACAGAAGCCAACAAGGAAGTTAGGAGGCATATAAGGGCAGATAAAGTGAAATATCTAAAGGATCTAGCACAAGAAGCAGAGACAGCAGCAGCAAAAGGAAACCTCAGAGAACTTTACAGCAACACAAGAAAATTAGTAGGTAAATATAGTCAGCCAACTGGATCAATCAAAAATAGTCAAGGAAAGGTACTTACTAACACTAAAGAGCAAATGGACAGATGGGTTGAATATTTTGAAATGCTTCTAAATAGACCAGGCCCAGAGGTTCCCCCAGATATCCAGCCTTTAGAAATGGAACTGAATATCAACTGTGAGATACCATCCAAAGAGGAAATTAGAAAAGCTATAAAATCTTCTTAAGGAAGGAAAGGCGTCAGGCCCAGATGGTATCCCAGCTGAAGCCATCAGGACCAACATAAAACACATCAACTGAATTGCTACATAGATTATTTTAGTAAAGTCCTGGGAGACCGAAGAAATACCAGCAGACTGGAGAGAAGGATATCTTGTGAAACTGCCCAAAAAAGGTGATCTACAGGAGTGTAAAAATATATGAGGAATTATGTTGCTGTCAGTTCCTGGAAAAAATATTAAGTAGAATTATTTTAGAAAGATTAAAAGATGCTATTGATAAAATGCTAAGAGATGAGCAGGCGGGTTTTCGGTCCAACAGATCCTGTACTGATCAGATAGCCACATTACGTATTATAATAGAGCAAAGCATTGAACTGAACTCACCACTTAACATTGGATTTATAGACTATGAAAAAGCATTTGACAGCATTGATAGGGAATCTCTCTGGAAATTGATGGGGCACTATGGAATCCACAGAAAATTATCAACTTAGTAAAGGCAACATATAAAGACATGAAATGTCGAGTTCTTCATGAGGAAAGCTAACAGATGCATTTGAAATAAAAACAGGTGTGCGACAGGGATGTCTTTTGTCGCCTCTCCTATTTTTACTGGCTATAGACTGGACTATGAAAAACAGTAACTGCTAACACCAAGAATGGAATTCAGTGGACCCCTACAAAACAGCTTGATGATCTGGACTTCGCTGATGATATTGCCCTTCTGTCCCATTCACGGAATCAGATACAAGATAAATTAAATATACTTAATGCGAGATCACAGCAGCTTGGTCTGAAAATCCATAAAGGAAAGACAAAGATAATGAGAATAAATCAGGCAAAAGTAGTAATGTGGTTTCTCTTAATGGCACCCCACTCCAAGACGTGGAGTCGTACACCTATTTGGGCAGTAATGTAGATAAAGATGGAGGAACTGATAGAGATATTAAAATAAGAATACAAAAGGCAAGAGGGGCTTTCATAGCACTAGGGAATTTGTGGAGGTCAAAAGAAATTAAAAGAAATACTAAACTAAAAATTTTTAATTCTAATGTCAAATCAGTACTATTGTATGGGGCGGAAACATGGAGAACAACGAAGGCAATTACTAATAAATTACAGACATTCATTAACTGGTGCCTGCGCAGAATAGAGGGAATAAAATGGTATGATAGAATAACTAATGTAGAACTTTGGGAGAGAACTAAACAGGCTCCAGTGGATCAAGAGGTGAGGAGAAGACGCTGGCGTTGGATAGGGCACACACTGAGAAAACAGGAGAACAGCATAACTAGAATGTCTTTGCATTGGAACCCACAGGGGCATAGGAATAAAGGAAGGCCAAAAAACACATGGAGAAGAGAGCTGGAGAATGAGGTTAGAAAGATTGGGAGGACATGGGGAGAGCTCCATGTAATGGCGAAGGATAGAACGACCTGGCGTGAGTTGGTTGAGGGCCTATGCTCCATTGGGGGATAAAAAGGCAGAAGAAGATTCTCATATGATTAGAGACACTTTGCACTCTGCATCACCAGGTGTTTATCGCTTAGTGTGCGGTCCTAGTGGAGTTCACTTTTGCTAGTTCACAGCCTTAGGGTATGCCAGTATAACTATGTTATATGGTTGAATTTGTTTTCTGGGATTTGTTTCTGTTTGATTTTTGTCCATCAAAGTATTAATACTACAGACTGAAATTCCTGAGTGGGAACATTTGAAGAAAAACTATTTGAGATATTTTTAAAAATTTAAATAAATACTTGTTGTCCTTACTTGCACTGGATTGCAGGTTGCTCTAGGTTGGTGTTGCCTTTAAGGATGCCACATTTTTTTACTTCTTTTAATGCTAAACAGGGTATCTGGAACTGGCTCATTTGGCTTGTCGTTTAGACTGCGATTTTGTAAGCAACAACTGGATTGGCACTTAGTGATAATGATAATTGCAGTATTTTTTTTAATGATAAAAACTAAAGATAAGTGGCAGTATTGCAACTTTATTTCAGAATAATGTTTGTTTGTCTCTTCTGGAACAGTTACCTCACATGACTCCCTACATGAGATTCTGCAGCTGTCAGCTATCAGCAGCAGCAACTCTGCAGAGAGTGTCAGAAACTACTCCAGCTTTTCAGGAGTTTCATAGGGTAATATACTTTTTACCTTGTATAAATACTTAAGGTGTATCAGGCATATAGGGCTAGATCAATATTGTGTAGACCAATCAGTACTTGGTGGGTTATGTGGTCAGCATCACAACGGCCACCTTTACTTCCCAATGCTCTACCTGATACCCTTTCAAAGCTGGGTCAACCTGGAAACCAAGGTCATTTTTTAAAAAGGTTGATACTGTCAGGACCTGAACCCATAACTTTCCGATCTGCAGGTGAGCTTTTGCCACTACACCACAGCTATATTAATAATAATAATTTTTTAAAAATGACCCCAGAAACTACTTAATCTTTCAGGATTTTCATAGAGCAGTATACATCTGTATAGTATAATTAATATACATACATGCAAGAACAGTTTGTGGCTAATCTTATTATTATATATTATTTTTGATTATGAGTTCTTCAGCCCTGTAAGCAGAGAACCTCCGTTACTTTTGATGAATCCAAGGACAAGTCTTTTCTTTGCTGGTTGAAGTAGTCTCCTATCATCCATGAACACATCCTTGCTAATTATTGTTTTATCTTTTAATTTGCAGGCTTGCATGCAGAACCCTAAAGTCAAGGGTGTGCACTTGAGTGGGTTCATGTTGAAACCAATGCAGAGGATTACAAGATATCCACTGCTTATAGACAAGGTAATTTCCAAGAAATGAAAATAAAACGGTTGAACATGGTTTAATCAGTTTACAGGCATTTTTATGTTTGATATTCTGAAATGTAATTGGCTTGATGCATTAGATTATTATCTCACAAGATACAGTGTGTAGTGAAGTTGGCTGAACACTTGTACTAATGCTGCTTGTACTACTTTTGGCTTGCTAGGGAACAGACACAACTTTCTACAATGAATAACACCAGACAGTGCTCAAATTACTATATCAATTCTGCCAGTTTATTCATGCCAATTCTCACACTACTCAATCACAGTTACTCAGTTATCAACATCGCTACTCATTTCCACAATACATCTGCAATGATCATTCACATGACGTTTTACATTTCAGTCAATTACATTACAACCGTCTTCCTCAAGCTCTGGCTCCTGACTGACCACGAGCCAATCTCGGGCTTTGCCTAGTTCGTATGTCTAGCTCCGAATATCACGTGTGTCTTCTCTTGCATGGGTTTTTGGCTAGACTTGCTGTGAGAGTGGAGACCATGCAGTGCTATTTCATAATATTCAATTCACAATTACGCTAATGATTATTTATAAAATCATGACTTTACATTCTTCTTTAGATCATTATTAATTCAGTGAATAGTGTGCTAGTCTGACTGACTACCTTTTTTAAAACAAACTGAAATATTCCCACAAGCAGTTAACATTACAGTAATACTTAACTCTTTGAGTCCCAGGGGGTTTTGCACCAGAGGCCCAAGGGGGGTAATATGATTTTGACTTTTAACAAATGCAGCACTTTAAAACAAACCACACAACTGCAGCTGATGTCCAACATACACATATCATACATAAAATTAAACATAAATGGATAAGGATTAATATTAGCATACTGCTACAACAAACAATTATTCTGTTAGTTAGTTTTTAGTAGAGAAAACAGTGACTTAGTTTGATAGGTGAGTAAATTATGAACAAGTTTTTTCCACTTACCCAGAAGCTGATCTCAAAATTCTTGATATAGTATATCCAAAATGCATCAGAAAGGAAGGTACACCACTTATAAGTATGCACAGCCATTATTAAAGCAAAATAGTTTTTGTTCCATAGCAATTTTAATAAAACTACAATAACACGTCAAAATATATTCTCCAGTGGCACAAACAGTGACTTTTCTAAAAATAATTGAATTCCTCACATAGAAAAAAACTGTAAAGGCACTGTAAACATGTCAATCTGTTCATAGATTTATATCTATGGTTTTAGATGATATGGATAGTAGTACTAGAAGCGCTGACATTTGGACTAGCTGGTGTCGCGTTACGAGGTGCTTCTCTTGTATTGCCAAGGCAGAATTAGTCAGTTTTGTCCTCTTAGCAGGAGGTAAATTACGCACACATCCTCATCAAAACTTGACTCGTCAACGGTTTGGGGAAATTTCACGTTGCTACTATCATTATCCAACTCCACATTACTTTAATCGATCCACTGTTTTATCAAATTTGATGATTCTAAAGCAATAAATCGCTTTGATGGGCGTGAAGACGATGACTGATCGGACATATTGTTTTCAGATAATTGTTTGGTAACGTAGTAGACCACACAAATATCGATTTAAAGCGTTAAAAACTCACCAGACCCAAACGAATGCACTCCACGTGTGTACACTACACACTTGAGAACCGGAAAGGAAGTTTAAATTGAGCGGTCCACGTGTAATTACCGATAAGTGGTAAATTAAAAACCGTCACACGTCATGCGCTGTTTGGGCCGCCAAGTAGTAAAAAATGAGCGCGTGATGCGTTCCTTGGGACTCAAAGAGTTAAAAGGCACATTTTTGTAATCAACTTAAATTTTATAACAGTTATAACAGAAATGTCCAGCATATTTACTTATGGTAATATTTAGCTTTACATAATATGAAACTTAATAATTGCACAGTTATAACTGAAATATGATAAATGAATTGATTCTGGAAAATATTACAAAAATTGAAATAATATCAATCAATGAACTTATCTTTGGTTAGTCAACTTGGCGGGGGCTAAATGTTAACATTGTGTATTGAGCTGTGTGCACAATGAGGCGCTGGCTAGGATTTATGAGGTTCTGACTAGGATTAATCTGACTTTAGCGGAACATTTTTGTATTTCATGACTGATGTCCACGTGGTTTATATTTCTTTGGAGAGTCCCGACTTGTTGTGAAGTTGCCCATACACTTGTAGTAATGTTGCTTGTACTACTAATGACTTGCTGTGACCGTGGAGACCATGCAAAGCAGGGTCATCACACAGTGAAATAAGCCAGACAATAAATTGTTCAATATTTTGTTTGTGGCTTCAGTATTTAAATCATAGCGGGGTAACGTTGTTTTGAATTGGCATCTTATTGTACATTATTGGCGCCAGATAAAGTTAAAAAGAAAAAAGCAAAGCACTCTTTTCCACGCCTTTAGGCGTATAGGACATATAGGGCTAGATCTATATTCTATAGACCAATCAGCACAAGATGGGTGATGTGCTCAGCATCATGCCGGCCGCCTTTACTTCCCAGGACTGCACCAGGTACCCACTCAGGGCTGGTTAGCGCCAAATACAGTGTAAAAAAAATAACAAACAACATACAAACTTTTTTTCATATATCATGATAGGCTCTTTACATAACATAACATAACCCTTGATCTATTTGGGTCATGGAGTTGAATTGATGGAAGCACTAGCACATAAAGTCCACCTTCATTCTCTGCCTTCCACTTGATATCTGCTCAGAATAGAGGCAATTAAATTATATGAAAAAATTACTTGTGCAGAGTTCAGGTAATGAACTAAATTGCTGTGAATCAAGATGAGTAGATGCTGATACAGGATAGAGCACATATTGACAAAACCTAATCATTGCTATAAATACTGGAAACCAGAGGATAGATTAATGAAGTTACATAGAAGATGGTTAGCACTCAAACTTATAATTTATAATGGTGTAGAGCTGTGATTTTGGTCATATGTGTGAGAATGAACGACTGAACAAATTTTATTTTCAAAGGGTTGAGAATTGGGCACTCAATTGTGTCTGATATTCTGCCCTTTCATTGAACTCCTTGCATTCGGTTATTCATTCATACATTGTTTCATGTGTTTCATAGTTAATAATAACTAAAAAATGTTCACAACATCTAAGTCTTAATTACAAATGCTGGAATGTGCTCTGATGATACTTACATTACTGAACTTTTTAAAAAGTGTGGTAATAAACCTAATATAAGTCTTGTAGGTTGCATAATATAAACATAATCAACAACATTTCAATATTAGTTACAAATACTGCGATGCGTTCAACTGGCAGCTTCATTTTTAAATAATACCAACTTTTAAAAAAAAAGTAAAGGCCAGTGTGGTGTGCATAAGGAGATATTCTGTACCCAACTTTGGGCGCCAGCTGGCTCTGTGCTAGTTTTATGGATCCTCATGTAAGACTCCTGCCACATGTCCTTTTCTTGCTGTATGGATAATGCTCAATTAAGTTGGATGTGTCAGTTGAAAGATGCAAATATTGCAGCTGTGCTATAAACAGGTACAGTGCCATTATGTATATATATATGGTCACAGAAAAGAGAAAAAGGTGTAGGAAAATTATCACATGTGCTACCGAAATAACATGTGAAATGATAAATAAAATCAGCAAAATGTGTGAATAAAATGTTTAGTGTATTTTAAACATAGTTTTTGTTTGTTTGTGGTAAACAGATCTTAGAAAACACTCCAGCAGACCATGCTGATCGAGGAAATTTAGAGGAAGCTCTTAGTCTGGCTCAGGAGCTGTGCAACCAGGCCAACCAGTGTGTCAGGGAGAGGCAGAACTCGGACAGTCTAGAATGGATACAGAAACATGTTCATTGTGATGGATTAGCAGAGGTCTGTTTGTGTTTCTGTTTGACCTTAGATTTAATTGCAGTTGTAATTTTTGACTTAGTTTTATGAATTTATGAAACAAAATTTGAGCTGGTGCACTCCTTCTATGCTATGTCTAAATTTAACAACTTCTTCATTGTCTGTTTAAGTTTGTGTGTCCCTTCAAAAAAGAATAACACAGTTTTAGAGTTGTAGAACTGCATTGTGTTGAGTTTTATAAACCAATGTCACAGCACTCAGAACATTCCCATAAGCGCTGCATCCCCATCTTCAGCAACCAGCAAAGAGTTACAACACCAATTTTACCAATAAAAATCTGATTGCAAATCTGAATTGCCTTTCCTGTTAGTTTGAAGTGTGGGCCAAATCCCATGGACACCATTCTATTTAGACTGTGATAATCTAGGTGTGCCTCCGCACTGTTCACTCCCTCTCCAAAAGAGCCTTGACAACATCTAGCTTGTCATACATAGTTTGTTGTAGAAGTAACTCTATATTGTGGGAAATAAATGTACACTTTGTATTATAAATCATTTTGGGAATAACATGGAGCTGTAATAATCAGATTTCTTGAAATTATTTAAGCATATACTTTTTCTTTCAGCTTGTCGATCATTAAAAATTGTATTCATCAAAACCTAATATAAAGTAACTTAATAAATATGTTTTTTTTTCTTCTCAGAACATTGTATTCAATTCATTAACAAACTGTATGGGACCCAGGCGTTTGTTATTCCATGGAGTTCTGTACAAGGTATGTTTAAGTTACTAGATAATTTAAACTTCCCTCTGTCGAAGTCATTCACTTTACAATATACTTTGTCCAGTTTGTTGTCAGTTACGAGGGCAATTCTATAAGTAAGTCGCAAATGGTTGTTTTAAACAAAAAATGTACTTGAGATGATAACAACTTGAAAACTGTTTATTTCTGCACATACACTTGTTGCTTTATTTATTTTAAACATAATTTTCACCAACATTGAGGCACTTATCCTATCATTTTATCAGTCCTCCCAAACCTGCTGCATAGTACTGCATGCTCTGTTTTCTACACTATATTTTCACTTCACATTTAACTTCTACGTCATTCGCAAAATGTCTCCCGCCAAGGTGGGTTTTCATTGGACCAAAAAGATGGAAATCACTAGGCTCCAAGTCGGGGCTGTAATGTGGATGTTCCAAAAGTTCTCACCTTAGATGGTAACTTTTTTCCTGAGTTAACCGAGCTGTATGTGGTCTGGTATTGTCATAAAAGAGCAGTACTCCTCTAGGCAGCAGGCCTGGACGTTTTCTTCAAATTGCACCATGAAGCATCAATAGAACTTTACAGTATGAATTAGCATTCATTGTCAACTCTTTTTTTTTTTAAATTGGTTAAAAGCACTCCTTGACAATCCCAGAACACTGTCAGCATAACCTTCCCTGCTGATGGCGTAACCTTGCATTTTTTAACACAACGCGAAGAAGAGATGTTTCCATTGCACTGAAGCACGCTTTGATTTGGGCTGGTAGTGATGCACCCATTATTCGTCCCCAGTAATAATCCTGTTTAGCATGTGTCCTCCTTCATCTGCTTATTGAAAGAGATGCTGCAAGGATAGGCCTAATTGGTTTATTTTTGTGTTCATCCGTCAATTATCTGGCTATCCACCTTGAGCACACTTACTTAAATTTCAATTGATCATGCATTATGTTGTATGCTGAACCATGTGAGCACCCTATTGTAGCTGCTACATAGTCAACTGTTACACGCCTGTCACCTCTAATCATCTCCTCCACCCAATGCATGGATGAGTATGTTGCAATATCAGCAGGATGACCAGATCAGACTTCATCAACAATCTTAGATCATCCTTGAGAAAATATTTTTAGCCAGCTATGCACCGCTTTACGGGATAAACATTTGTCAGCATAAACAAGAAGCATTTCCTTAAGAAATTTCCTTTGCAGGCAGCCCTTTTACCTCTCAACAACAACAACAACAACAGAAACACACAACAGCACATTGTTCTTTGAGGGTTCATTCTGTAAGTAGAGTCACCATTCTGTTTCTATGTTGCAAATGCGCATGAAGCACCTAGCAACACCTAACAAACAGAAAAATAAAGTTTGATGTTGCTGTCACATAATGACACCTTTAAAAACCACCAACTACATTCTCCTGCAATCCTATGACCATTTGTGACTTACTTGTTGACTTCCCCTCATAGTTTGCTTTATTTTTGCCAGGTCAGAGAAATTTTGGTTGACTGCAATTTCTTACTGCAGTTAAATTTTTATTCTGTGTAATTGGCACATTGACCTACTGTTTTTTTTTTTCTAAGGAAATTTGATACTTGAACTCATTACCTAAAAATCAGGATATTTAATATTTTTAATAAATGGCTTTTTTCCCTCAAAATTCCCAGCCCTCTTTATAGAGTGAAAAATACTGACATTCTTCATCATTATCGTATTAAGAAAGACTGGCTTATAAATGAATTATATGTTGTAAACTGAAATACAAGAGCTATATTAAACACCTAACTGTTTTGGGGAAAACCGGGATGGAGAGCATAATTCCTAGTTGAAGAAAATGATAGAAGTTGTCCAACGTGATGGCATTCACAGGATGTCAGCGACAACCCGGGAATGAAAGTAAGCAGGGATTTCCAGCCTTTCATGATAAGAGTAGCAGTTTGATGGTGTTGTTGAGAATGAACCAAGTAAGTTATGAGCATATAGTGAAAAAAAGACAGACAGGAATGAGAAGGTGATTAGATAATTGCAGTTTCAGCTTCATAGCAAACATGTCACCACATAGTTGCTCCATTCCTGAGCCAGGGAAAACCAAACAGAATGCCCATCACTGTCCCTTGTGGGAAAATTGACACAAACTGCAGTCTCAGCATATCTAATTGCATTCACATGCATTAACTGCATAAGGCAGCCATCAGAAGAATTAAGACAAAAATTCTGACACTAGAAATGCATTTCATTATCGATGGAAGCAGCAGTCACAACAGATCAGTAGTTGAATACTAATGGGAAGGGGATTGTGCATCTGTGACAGTCTAAATTCTAAGCATTGAATTCATACTTAAATTGTTTTTCTATAATGGCAGGCAAAGAGTAACAAGGAGTTGGTGGGGTTCCTGTTCAATGATTTTCTTATGTTAGCCTATACATCAAAACCATTGGGACCCAGCTTCAGTACGGTGCGGGTATTTGACACAGCTCTGCAGTTCAAAATGTATCGTGTGGTAAGTAATTTATCTGCTTCCCTTCTCATCCTCCTTCTTCATTCCCATTTTGAGAAATGCATCATAGCTAGGATTGCATCTTAGAAGTCAGTATATCTCATTGTGTCATGTATCTGTGTAATGTTTTCTATATGAATTCCATCATAGGTAGTAGGAATTCTGTCTTAACAGTTTTGCCAGTGCAGTAGTCTTGACAATAGACAGGTGGAACTACTACAAACACCAAGAGTCATCAAATGGTAAGTGAGGGCCATTCAGAGAGATGAATTGAGGTGGGTGTGATATCTGCAGGAAAGAACCTCAAGCGCTGAGAATGCCTAAAAAGAAAAAGAAGAAGAATGTTCTTGTGGCCTGAGTTGCAGTTTCCAACTGCCTTGTAATTTTTAAATTGCAAACAGGGCCTCCTTTTTTGTCATTATCCAAAGCTAGGTATTCAATCTAACCATCCAGGAGATCAGAGAGACATTGGTATCTTTAGAAAACAAGGGCTTTTGTGATAATCCTCAACCACTTGGCCACACTACATGTGTTTATTGTGCTCAGGATACTTATTGTACTATTCGAACTAGAACAGCAAAAAATGTAAACAGTTGACCACGTTCAAACTCCAGTTCAGTCTCCAGTTATATTTATAGTCTGGTTTATTTATGCCATGTTTTTGGCTAAGATTGTGTTATGTGTGCTAGGTTGCTGGCTTTGTTTCCCTAACCAGATACATTGTCCTCTCCTCCTGAGTATGGTTAAAATATGGAAACATTTATAGCTGTATTGCCATGGACATCTTTCATTGCATGTTAACTCCTTCAGTACCAAACAACTCACCCTACATTTCTTGGTCATTGCAAAGATAACATACTGTTTTTGCAACTGTCTGTCACAACAGATATTATGTTAACCCCTTGTAACAGTATTATTAGTTCAACTACTTCTATCCCACAGCTTGCCTGCTGAACTTCTTCACAACTTAATATGCATTGCTTTTAAGCCCATTTTCCTAGGCTAAAAACAGTTAAAGTAAACTGAGGCGTGGGATGAAACAGTTCATGAAAGGCAGATGGGCTGCATTTGTGGCACCTTTATTGGGCTTTTGAAATAGACCAGTCACACTAGTGTAAACTGGAAATTATTACTCATTATATCATGGCTAGAAAATGTGTTTGTCAGATGGATCATCATCAGGTGCCTTGCTGACTGGCGTGGGCGATCATGCCTCTCCATAATCTGCGATCTCCTGCAGCATGTATCAGTTCGTGTGCCGACACACCTCCATGCCATGCAACAAGACTGTCAAACATCTTCTCTCGATGTCTTCCTCTATCCCTCCTTCCACAGATCTTTCCAGTGGTCACAACATGTTCTATTTGCCCTCTTCTCGTATGGCCAAAAAATGATGACTGTCTCCTTCTGATGTCTGTGATAAGTTGTCTTCGGGCTCTCGCTTCTTTCAAAACCTCTTGGTTACTCTTTTTGGCTGTCCAAGGTATTCTAAGCATTCTTCTGTAAAACCACATCTCTGAGGCCTCTAGAAATTGTTTGGCCTGCCTACCGATTGTCCAGGATTCACAGCCATAAGTTAAAACTGGATGTATGTAGCAAGCAAGAATTCTTACTCTAACTCTCAATGACAAGGATATATTGCACAAGATGTTTTTCATTTTATAAAATGCAGCTTTTGTCACATAGAAAGCTCTGGTATTCTCATTATTGTTTGTTATTGATGTCTTAAAATTCCATAATGTTTAGTGGACATTTTTAGATAATCTAATTTCTGTTTTCTTCGCAACATTACAACCTGAATCAGTATGTTTTTTAAAGATTATCTTCATTTTAAGGAGATAACAGAAAAACTTTTTTTACTGCAGAATTAAAAAATGCGAGACATCACATGTTCTTTTACATGTCATCCTATTCATTTTTTCCAGCCTATATTCCTAAATGAGATCTCAGTTAAGAAAGGAACTGAAGATGTCGAGCCTACACATTTCCATATCACCAGCGACAGAAACCTTAGCTTGAGGGCAGTCTCTGCTGTGGAAAGGTATTAGGTTAACTTTTATGGCACGTCTCCTGTTTAAAAAAAAAAAATACAGTTTAGGTAATATTGAATATCTTTCTTAAATGTTTTTCCAATATCCTCTAATAAAACCTCCCCTGTATTTAGCAGTGGTTCAAAATATTTTTGTTTTTTGGGCCATAGCTCACTTATAAACATTTGATTGTGTTTCACTATCATCATCATTATTATGTAGCATATTGCACAGATTTAAGGGGTCACTACACGGCATTTTTTTCCAATTTATGACAAAAATATCATTTTTTCAATGTGTTCATTTTTGTAATGTTCAGCATTCGTAGAATAGATTACACACAAAATTTGTGTCATTGGTTAACAGTTTAGCATTGAAAAGTTAATACTAAAGACACCAACCCATGCACTTTTTTGAGATAAAAAAAAGTTTAAAAGTCACTTTTCTAACAATTCTATTTTTCTGTTTGTTGTGTGTGGGATCTCCTAAAATCTCAGCTAATATAAGGACTAGAGACGTGAAATTTGGTGTGGATATTCCTAATACAATATTATAGGGTCAGGGCTATTTGAAATTACAGTTTATTGAGTCATTATAACAAAAAATTTGATTATTAAATACAAAAGCTACATTTTTGTATTTTTTCAACATACCAAAATTCTAATATTCTAAAAAAAATATTTAAAAACATCTTTGAAGTAAATAAACTAAACCTGACCCTAAACATAAGTTTAAAGTTTATGAATCAATCATCTGTTTTCTAATACCTCTGTTTGTTTTTGAGATTTTAGCTGTCTAAGTACATGTTGTTTTTTCATCAAGATGGTGGCTGTTGCCATGGCAACCATGTTTTTTTTCAACTTGAAGTATACAAATGTATCAACATACATCCCTAAAAATGACCATTATAAAATATTTGGTCTAACATTGTAAGTAAAAAAATTTTTTTTTTCTTGTAGTGACCCCATAAATGATTGTAAGCATTTGTTTTTGTAATTATCATTATCCATTTGCATCATGTATTGATGAAGGCTTTTTGACTGCATCATTAATTTTGTTATTTGTGATTGTAGTTTTGTGAAGCTGTTGAGCTCTACATCTTGTTTAGGTGGATACTTTTTCATCATAAAGCAGCTAATCTTTCAAATTCTTCTTGTACTTCTTGCCACTGTGCCTTGCATTGTTTGCTGTTTCTAAAACCATTTTTCACTGTTCGTGTCACCTACTACTTCAGTTTAAGAGACAAATATTTTTGAGCCAAATTTCCTTAGTGTTTGTACTATGTCTGTGTTTTTCTTTTTCCTGTTCAGTGGCATCCTTAAAATGTTTCAGTAATATTATACCACCTCAAACCACTTTTATTACTGGATAAAATTTAGAAACGACAAATTTTGAAATTTGATCCTTGACGAAGCCAAGTGGTTTATATGAAGTATTGATAAAAACTAGTTATCATTAGAGTATTCAAGACGCCTGAAAGGTCATGCATATTACCAGCTCTTAAAAAAAACAACTATATGTTATACAGACTACACACAGGACATAACTTAGTGAGATACCATTTGTTTATGAGCTATGGGTAAGAAATAATGATGATTCGAACGAGAAAAGATGTCAATGAATGTTACTGGAATTAGTAAAGATATATGAATGAATGTGAGTAGAATTAGTAAAGAGTTACTAATGGGATTGGAATTAACAGACAGATGCTAAGGAAAGTGACACATGTTAGAAAATGTGAGATAACTGATGCATTTGACCAGTATTCTGAAATAAAAGATACTAATGAAAATAATTTAAATTGTTTTATTTTAGGCGTGCCTCGTCTGTCAGACTTGATGTTCTCAGCACTCTTATCTACAGTAGTGAAACTTTTTGGCTTATTCATATAGCACACTATATAACATTATTGCCTGAAAAGACAGAAAAGTGCTAGTAATATTTTAGTAGTGACCAATACGTGAATAACGGAAAATGCTTTTGGCCTACACCAACTTCATTTGATGACTAAATCTTTAGAAATGTCAACAGTTTCAGGTTAACTGAAATTGAATAAAGAAGAAAGTGTCAACATAGACAGTGCTAAATCATTGTTTTCATGTAAGTTGATCCATTATATGTTTCAACACAGAGACACATGGGTAAGGGAAATTGATGCAGCATCCAAACAATACAAGGACAAAGCCAAGACCAAACTAGAAAGAGCACACTCAGGTAATCTTGGTTCTGTGAACATTCATTACTGTATTTTTTATAAGTTCATTATCTACATCAGCATATTTATTTGAATGATCGGTAGAAATGATACTTTATTTTTGTGAAACGATACTTTATTTTTTTTCATTTTAAACAGAAACAGTGTGAAGTTTTTTTTTTTGGGGGGTACTTATGTAGTCATGGCTGTTTAGGCTGTTTATTTACCAACATTGTAATATTTTTTTCTTTGCGGAGACATCAATATCTGTTTCTCTGTAATTAACCACTTATATTTTCTGATGACTGACTGACAGTTTTTAATTTTTACAATAATTTTTGTGTGTGGCAACTTTCCGTTTTTCCAGATGATTATGTACTATCACAGTTTGCCGTTACGTCCAACCAATAAATAAATAATTTATAAGCTATCTGCTATAGGATTATCTACTGAGCAAAATGGATGAGACTGTTCTTTATCAGACTGAATAGTAACTTACTTAGACTGAAGTTTAGCTCTCTTAATTCTGAGTATATGAGGACTGACAGACCAGACAGCTGAACATGTTCTTCAAAACTACCAGGTTTCATAATCTGCAGGCTGAATATTGACCTGAAGATACAAATGTTTCTGCTAAACTGTTTACCAGACTCAGCAAGCTCTCAGAAACAGTCATGTACATGCAAAAGTCTGATGTTGAAAATAGGGGTAAAATAAAATTAATGAGTAAATAAAGACAACACAAACTATGACTAGGAATGTTAATGAAGGACAAGAAAAGTTATTTTGAGCATATGTTGTCCTTTCTGTTTGTTAAGATTGATAATCATAGCTTATGATGTTGTTATTTTACATACTTCGACTTCTTTTGGAGATGTTACTAGAGATGTGGAAGACTTCCATGAAAAGCAGGTTTCATATTAAAAATTGTGAGCAAACTTTCTACAAAATCACTATACAAATCATCATCATCATCATCAGTCAGCATGTCCTTTAGAGTATGTCACTTTCTTTATGGCACAACTAAAAATCTCTCTTCCTCTGCCCAGTTCTCCTGCCCTATGTGCTTTCATTGCCAGTGCATCTCCAATGTTTAATATCCACCTTTGCGGAGATCACTTTATCACACTTCTCTCCTGGCCACTGTGGAGCTTAACATGGCCAAAATACCACAGCTTTCAGGACGATGCTGTTTATGAGCCAATTCTCCTGGATTTTCAGGTCTTGCAGGCTTTCACTGTTTACTTCTTTTTGGTTCACTGTATTCTGAGATTTGTTTGCAGCATGTCTGTTCAAAAACTGATTCTTGTTTTCTTCAAAGATTGAGTAATCACAAATCAGAGATAAAATTGCAGTAGAACACAAAAGCCCCCCCCCCCCCCCCCCCCCCCCCCTCTCTCTCTCTCTCTCTCTCTCTCTCACACACACACAAACACACACATTTGTCTATAGGTTACTTTTAACCATAGGTTAACCGTGTCATATAGTTAAACAAGTTTCCTGAGATTTGCTTCTGGTTGGTTTATTCTCATCTGTGAGATGTCAATCCTCAAGTCTTTAATCTTGGAGGCGAACCCTTAAAAAAAAACATTAGGGCACAAATTACTTCTTGTGTATGCAGCTTGTTGTGTTCATGCATACACTGTCCATCTGTTCCTTTTAGAAGGCCATTTATAATTTATGAATTTATTTTTTACATGTATTATTTATACTTTTTCATGTTGGGTTTTGAAATAAAACTCTCTTTGTTGTGCACCTGCGAAGACTGTTCTAGAAATGTAATGTATATCTCTCTACGCATTTTGTAGTTTTGCGAGCAAAACCAGTAGGCAGGGTCCTGGTTGTGGTGGAGGAGGGGATAGGTCTGAGACCTGCACGTGATGCTGGTATGTGAGAGTAGCTCCCCCTGCATTTATTTGCTTAGACAAGGGCTGGAGCTGTTGCATGTAGCAGTGTTGTAGCAACTTTTCTGTGTCCGCTGTTTGGTTGTTTTACATGGACACTTGTGGATGTCAAGGCTTGTTTTCAGCACCTGCATGAGTTCTCTTATTAGTTGATACTGAAATGTAATGGTTTGTGTAATTTATGTTTGATTATCTTCAGAAACGAACCTTTCTTTAATCTTTAATTTGCGTGTTTTACGTTTAGAAATGCTACATAGACAGATCAGTAAATTTTTTTTTTTTAAATTTTAAGTCAACTTATCTTAGTCTAGGCAACTCTTCTGGTTATAAACTAAAAATGTTCCCTATACTAACTGTTAAATGTGGACCAAAAAGTTAATTGACCAAAAAAGAATAATAATAAATGGGAAGATCAAGTTAACATAGAATGACTTTGGCTTTTAAATATTAAAATAAAAATATCTGTTACAAATAAGTTTGAATGACCAGAGAAAATATTATTGCGATTATTATAAAATTTCTTAACCTTTTAAACGAAAGATGATTAGTTAAACAATTTTTATCTGTAAATTGTAAGTTCTGTCATAAGAAAGCTACCTTTATTCAGATGTTTAAGCTAATGATTAATCCTTGAAATCGAGAGAATCGATTTGATTGCACTAGATTTTATCCCAATATGGGTGTCACTGCAGAATGGCTTGCTGCATTTAAAAATTCCACATAGCACAAATTCTGTAGCTCCAGCAATGATCCACAAGGATTTCTCTAAACAACTGCACCCAAAAACTGATCATTACAGCTGATGAAACAAATCCATGACTTTTAGAGTGCAAGGCTAACTGCTTAACCATTTAGCCATGGAAACCTCTTAAGTTTTGGCCTTAATAATTTCGAATCCTCCCACTCTTTGGAATAGTTTCTAGAAACAGTCATAAAATAATTAAACATCTTGATTTTTCAAATATTTTTTTTATCTTCTTCCTCCCTCAATAAGTGTTTTTATTTTTGTGGTCAGGTATACTTTTGGTATCACATATATATTTTGTAAAAAGGAAAGAAGTAGTTTACATCTTATTGCACTTCTGTGTTTCATGGATTAGGTTTCTTGTGTTGACGGGTTTTAAATATATTAGATCTTCAATCATATAACCTGCTTTTTTGTAGTAATCTTTGTGGTGTTTTGCTCCGTGTTAAGTTTAGGTTTTGATTACAGAACCATTTTCCCCGTGTTAAAATAGAAATCCTGCTTTATACCTAAGTCTTCATTGTGAGTTTCACTGTGAACACTTCAGTGAAAATTGTATTGGTATGTAGATGTATATTCTTTAAGCTTTGGGCAAGTAAAAGAAATTTAGATATCCAGGTACATGAATAATCTTGATGGAAATTACAAAACATGAAACAAAATAGGGCAAGAAAAGGTTAGTTTAAAACATTAAGATCACTCTGTAGGCAAACATTGACCAACAGTTTGCATAGACCAAAGTTCAGAAGTGGACAAACAACCAGAACTTTCTGCCAGAGTTTACAACCAGTGAACGCTAAGAAGAAGAAGAAAAGATATTTATCCGGAAATGCCAAGAATAATCAGTCTGAGTAATTTAAATGTGTTGAAAGTGGATAAGACACATAGACAGCTGATCCCAGACATCAGAATGTGTTGAAAGTGGATAAGACACATAGACAGCTGATCACAGACATCAGAATGTGTTGAAAGTGGATAAGACACATAGACAGCTGATCACAGACATCAGAATGTGTTGAAAGTGGATAAGACACATAGACAGCTGATCACAGACATCAGAATGTGTTGAAAGTGGATAAGACACATAGACAGCTGATCACAGACATCAGAATGTGTTGAAAGTGGATAAGACACATAGACAGCTGATCACAGACATCAGAATGTGTTGAAAGTGGATAAGACACATAGACAGCTGATCACAGACAGCTGATCATAGACAGCTGATCACAGACAGCTGATCACAGACAGCTGATCATAGACAGCTGATCACAGACAGCTGATCATAGACAGCTGATCATAGACAGCTGATCACAGACAGCTGATCATAGACAGCTGATCATAGACAGCTGATCACAGACAGCTGATCACAGACAGCTGATCATAGACAGCTGATCACAGACAGCTGATCACAGACAGCTGATCATAGACAGCTGATCATAGACAGCTGATCACAGACAGCTGATCATAGACAGCTGATCATAGACAGCTGATCACAGACAGCTGATCATAGACAGCTGATCACAGACAGCTGATCACAGACAGCTGATCATAGACAGCTGATCACAGACATCAGAATGTGTTGAAAGTGGATAAGACACATAGACAGCTGATCCCAGACATCAGAATAAAGAAGTAAACATTATTTTGTCAGTAATTGTTATGATCATTGAAAAATAATAATAGAGAAAAGCAGCAAGAAAATGTCTGATAGCCTCACATAATAGCAAGGACTGGTTTAAGTACCTGAATATGCATTCTAGTGAAATAAAGAGTTTTGGAGAAGCTTGTTTCTTTCAGCATGATGATTATAGGTTAGTTGCGTCTCCTTTACAGGACGTTGGAGAACCAACCCCATTAGCCCCTGGCTTTTGTGTGGTTTCTCTAGGCAAATTTACATCCAGTAGTTTGCCATTGCTTTCTGGACGGTCAGCCCCCTGATACTTCTGTCGAAACCATCGCAAGGCACATGGCCGGCAGCTGCGATCATACCCGACACCCCGGCATTGCGAAGTGTTCCCATCGACTTAACCACAGAGCTGACGCATGATTATATTAAACACAAAGAACTGGTTTTCACATTATGCGGTGCTTGTCTTTTTTATAACTCCGGTTAGCCAAATTAAAATGCAGACAGAAAGAAGTATTTGTTTTTTAAATTTAAGACTCAAAATGAAGTTAAAGAACATTAATATAGGCAAGCACACATACAAACACATAAATAAAGAAACCAAAGTTATAGACATTTTTTGTTGTGGTCCTCCAAACTGGTTATAAAATTAAAGTAAGAATTAACATTCTTATGCATGGGCTTTTTAGTCTGAAATTATAGATTTGTATTTTCTGATTGTTTTGATGTTCTTGCTTTGCCATTTTTGTTATGCTGCATGATATTTTTCTTTATAATTTTTGCACACGCACTTTTCAGTTGCTTTATTCCAGCATGAATTTGCCATATTTGTTTACTTTTGTTAGTGAGACGGCCTAGTGTTGGTCGAATACTTGTTGTCATTCAAGAGGCTAGTCACCTCAAAGCCTCTGATGCCATGGGTAAGTTGTCATTTGCATCTTGGTGTAGCCTATGTAAGAAGAGACTCTGGATGTTGTTGTGCCCTCCTAGAGCTAACTGGTTGTTTTGTTACTCATACAGTTTGCAAAAATAAGAAGTCAACATATTAAGAAGGATTAGTTTTTCTGGCATTTGGCATATTTAGATTTTAACATATGTATTTAACCCTTTCAGCTTGTAATTTTTTATTAAAAGACCCTTTTCAAAACTTTATCACACACACACAAAAAAAGCATTCTTATAATTCTCTGAAACTTTACTCAAAAAAAACTAAAGAGAAGAAGAAATATGGAGTCTTGTGTAGTTTTTATAAACCTCCAGAAGGTTGAACCCTTAGGTCACTGAGCAGACAGGCAAGTGTGAAGTCCACAGCTACATCGCAGCATCAAAAACCATCAAAATAATTCTTATTAATTTATATTATTAATTTGTTTGGGCAAAATATTTTTGTGTGTGGTAATGAATCAGTCACTAAATACAGATGAAGCATGGACCATGTGGTTTTGTTGGCTTGGCCATTGGGAGCAAAGTGACATCAGAAGAGATTACTATGATAGAAACTATGAGGTTACAATTACCATACACACACATTTTTGATTTTGTTACCCCTAATAGTATCTTTAAAAAAATAAATATAGCCATTCTCACATGTCTAAACATTATGCAGTTACATCCAGTACCCAAGTTGTTATATAGGTGTAATGGCCACTATCCAAAGACTTCATGTCATACAAAACGTGTAAATGTAAGAAAAACAGCTTTCTCAGGTGACATGACTAATGTATTATTTCCCTGTTTTTTTCTGGTATATAATGACAATGAATGGAGCACCAGTTAAAAATTACATTCGTGTTGAAGAATAGACATTAAAACAGTCTGATGAGTTTTAAGTACCTAGGCAGTGTATTTACTGAGGCTGGAAAATTGGACAGAGGAATAAAAAACAATACAGAAGGCAAACAACATAAATTACCAACTAGTGCCACTCTCACTCTTGAGGCATTTTTAAAAAAAAACACACACACACACAAAATATGCACATTAAAAAAAAAACTGCTGATAAATTCACTTTTCATGCCAGCTGTGTGCTATTAACCCAGACATAGTCCTTGAAAGACTTAAATGCAAAATTAGAACATCTGAATTAAGATGTATAAATTTGGTTGGGGGGGGGGGGGGGAGACGGAGTCAACAAGGATAAACTAAGAACAATGGTAAGCACATTACAGGTGAATGATTTTTTTAAAACATCAAAGAATCCAGTGGTTTGGTAACCTGGTTAGAATGGAATAAAATCAGCCAGCACACAAGACCAGCATGCAACAAGACAAGAGGCCAATTAAAACAGACATAAGTTGATAAAATAAAAGGGGCACTAGAGAAATGCAATAGGACTAACACAAGCTACGCAATGAACAAAAGACAGGAAACTACATGTAACTCTTCTTTGTGACGCTTTACGTCATAAACAGGACAGAATAAGAGGAAGACCCATTTTCAGCTGGGAAAAATATCCTCATCTAGAAAGGAATTTAACATATGACCTCCCCGTATAAGTTCCAGGCCCACATGTGGGGGATAAAAACCAGAATAGACCCACTGCCCCCCATAACAAGCATGTATAACTCAACTAATTAGGGGCACTTTCCAGAAGTCAGAGTGCATTTGCCTGGGACACGAGGAACCAGCAATGTGCACACAAATTAAGCCAGATCTGTAAAATGGATGTTCACATGAACTCAACTTCTTGAAGAAGATTTTAGTCCAGAAGTGGATGAACAACCAGAACTTTACACCAGAGAGTTTCCAACTGATGAAAATGCGAAGAAGAAGAACAACAAAAACAAGTGACCACCAGGCTAACAGCCAAGCAAGCTAGCCACTTTGCTACCTCTGCAACATAAGTTATCATTTAGTGATCAAAATGGTTTCTAGAAAGTATAAATTAAAAACAGTTAAAATTTGTAATAAGTTTCAGCTTCAGAATGCAAGAGTATTTTCAGGTTTATGTTTGTCTCTCCATCCTACCTGTCCTTTAGTTATAATAGAAACAGAACAAAGGGTAAACCCCATATGTGGGTTGTGGAAATACCAAAGATTGTGATCACCAACTTGTTTGCAGCCTAAAAAAAGAAGATTGGTCAAAAGAGAGCTTCCTAACCAGAGTAAAAGACATAGCAAAGACAGTGAATATGAGAAAGAAGAAAGTACTATCACTGCACAGAACATTTCATGTGCCTTTTAATTTCTGTAACAGATACATTGCCTTAGATTTTAATCATTAGTTAAGTAGTAATCCCTTTTTGTTTTAATTTGATATGATAGCATTTTTAGTTATATGATATGTCAGTAACTGAGATGGTAATGAGAAGCAGTAGCATGCAGCCAGTCATCAGTCTGAAGTCAGCATTTAGTCAGATTTAAAAAAAAGAAAACTGATGTTGATTACATTGCCCAAGTGCCCAATTGGTCTGTAATAATATAACTCCAGCATCATATGTTCGATGCACCACGGACGTGAATGGAGGCAGGTGATATCTTTGTAACTGTTGACCACAAGGGCTCGGAATGCAGAAGATGAAGAAGTCTTGCGAAGTACGCATGGGAATGCACCGAGTGCTGTGATGTCAATTCTTGACACAAATCAACTCATATGAAACTTAATCACAATTTTCATAGCAATTTGAATATTTGATCTACCTGATACCTAAAGAGTTGAATATGTATAATTCAGAACATAGTATTACAACTTTGAGTGTGAATAATAATTTTGAAAATTGTTTATCAGATATAAGTGCCATGTTTAACTTAACAGCAAATTTTAATCTAAATAAACAATACTACAGTATGCTAATCCATAAGACCTAATTTACTCGATTTTGAACAAATTTATCTGATCTTTATAGCTTTTAAAAGATCCTAAAGATATAATTGACTGTTTGCATTAATAACTGATTCAAAAAGTTTATTAAAATGTCACATTGTAATTGATTGAATAAATTTATTAAAATATCACATTGTAATTGATTGAATAAATTTATTAAAATGTCACATTGTAATTAATTGAATAAATTTATTAAAATGTCATATTGTTATTAATACAATTGTAGGTAAGAGCGATCCCTATTGCGAAGTCAGCATGGGCTCCCAAGAGCATCGCACCAAAGTGATCCCAGGAACTCTGAATCCACGTTGGAATGCTTCCATGCAGTTTCTCATCCGAGATGTCGAGAGAGACACTCTCTGTTTTACAGTCTATGACAGAGACCTTTATTCTCCAAATGGTGAGTGTTATCCTAACATGAGCCATGAACTCATAATTTTAGTTAACTCTTAAAGTATGAAAGGAGCCACCATAATGTATCGGCTAGATGATTGCCTTGAGCCTGAAGGTTGTAGGTTCAAATTTGCACCGAACTGGATTTTTTCAACAACAAAAAGTAAAGATGTCCAGCATGATGTTGACTCCATCACCCTCCAAGTGCTGATTGGTCTATAAAATGTAGGTCTAGCCCTAAGGGCATGGAAGAGGGTCCTTATTGTATGGAAGGCAAATATTTGGGGCCAGTAACATGTACAAAGGGGTCTTTGGTAGTACAGTTTTGTGTTCCAGTTTTGTGCACAGATCTTTTGTTGTTGTTGTTGTAATGGACCTGGGATGCCAGGTAAATCTAGCTGAAAGTGGGTGCCAGGAACAGTTCTGGAAAGTTCAGGTGGCTGGTGTAAAATTGGCTACATTGCTCATGGTGTGACCCTTGATCGGTAAAAATAAATAGACTAGAAGCAAATAGAATTGTACAAATGCTGCAATGGGTTACACGCCATATATTTTATAAAATGTGCACTTGTAGATTGGCAATGACTGGAGTACTTCTAGGTGGAGTTTGATATAAGGCAAAGTCATTAGGTAAAGGCAGTTGTATTCTAGTCTGCATGGAACAATATGCAGAAGAAAAAAATATTATTTCGAGACACAGAAAGGCCCCTTTGCAATGCCCAAAGTACTTGTATTGACGATTTAGCAGTATGCGCATGTGCAAAAGCTCGTGTAACATGGCCACTGCACTGTTAACACACACCATGGAAGAGTAACACAGTATTATTCTGTGTGTTTTGTGTGTGTGTGTGTGCAGAGGGCATCTGAAATCTATTGAAAAATAAAGATTCGATGTAAACACAGTTGTTTGTGTCAGAGGAAAGTGTATGATTAAAAAACAGATGGGATAACAGGAAAGTGTGTAGCAGAGGGTTCCAACGCAGTTGTCCAATAAACAGAAGCACATGAGGCAGATGAGTTGTCAGGAGCATTTGAACCGTCCTTTCCATGAAGGAAATGCTTTAACCCATCCATTTCTGACTTTGTATACCATTATGAATCAGAGACAGTCTAAGAGACAACTTATGCTAGAAACACATGAGGGTCCATCACACACACACAAAAAAATTTTTTTTTTTAATTTAAGACACAGGCTTCAGCTTGGAAGGTCATGCTAAATATCTTTTGGGATGTCAGTGGCCCTATATTGATGCATTTCCAGAGAAGGGATGAAACTGTGATTATTGCTCATTATATTGACATGTCAGTGAATGTCGCGTGCGGATGTGCACTAGAACGCATTGGTACTGAGTGAGCAAATAAAACATCAAAACAATACGTAGTAATATCGTTATGGTATTGGTGTCAAAGGCATTCGATGTTTACAGTCTGAAGGGAACAGACGTGTGGATCCCTGAGGAGGTTATACCCTGGGATGCCACTGAAAGCAGTCATTGTATGAAGATGGATCCTTGAGGACGCTTTACCCCGGGACTCCACTATAAACCTCAGCAGAAAGCTGGTATAGTGCATAATTCGTTCGGCAGTAAGCCGGTATACTTATCTTACCTTGTTTAAGAGAGAAGATTTAGATGACTGTCGGGATCTCCAAGGTCGGACTGCGACCCGTCGTTTGAACTGATCAGTCGATTGATGTACGAGTCGGTTGTAAGCCGGTATATTTATTCTACCGACTGTCTGGATTTCCAAGGTCGGACTGCGACCCGTCATTTGTAATATGTCAGCTGACGTCGAGCGGTTTCTTGTGTGGGTGTGTTTGGATGAGTCTGGATTATTAATTGCATATTTTCTCATCTGTTGATTGAGTTTATATATCAGTTGGAACCTAACTACGAGGGCTCGTTGTTCTACCGTTGAAAAGCATTGAAGTTCCTACTGTTTCAACCCCACTTGGCCTATTTCATCGTTTGCTACGACACGCATCAGCTTGAAGCCGCCGCACGTCACAGTGAACAAGCTGAAGCCCAGGATCTGATCAAAATGCCAAGATCTTCTCTCAAAAGGAGTTTTGTTGTTGTATGACAGCACCCTCCCCCACACGGCTGTGCATACAGTTGATACACTACAGACTCCGTGGTTTAAAGTATTGAAACATCCAGCATACAGCCCAGGCTTGGCACCATTGGACTTAATTTGAAAGATCATTTGTGGGGTCAGAGATTTGCAGAAAACAGTGAGGTGATGTCGGTGGTGCAAACTTGGTTACTGGCCACACCCAAAGCCTTCTACCTGGCAGGCATCTACAATCCTATGGAGAGATAAATCTAAGATTGAGTAGTTGTGAATCCCTGATCACTGTTATCACAGGAGGCTAACTAAGACTGGTAGACCCATACAGACTTGGTGCTGTAAGTTTTATACATACTTGAGATGGGGATCTGAGCAGTTATAGACTGGTTGGTCCAGAGTGTGATTTTTGAAATTCTATTAACAAACTGATCATTAGCAAAGGGATTATGATTCTATATTTGTGAGTTTGATGCCAGTCACTGTCCCAGATTATGCTGGTACCTTTCCATCTGTCAGATGACATTGTTCCTTTGTACTCTAGGGAAGGATAGGAATCATTGCCCATTGATGATACCAGTTAAGGCCAACGATGAAATTCCTCTTCTTCATGCTGTGAACACGCTTCGTAATGCCGGGGCGCCAGGTTCAATTCCAGCTGCAAGCCTTGCATCTTGCGTTGGTTTCTATAGTGGCATTGAGAGCCAGCCGTGCAGAAAGCAGTGGCAAACTACTGGATATAAATTTGCCTAGAAAAACCACAACAGCTGAAAAACGCTTGGGTTGGTTCTGAAATGTCCTGTAAAGGATACGCAACTAACTTTTTTTTTAACATATCACAATGCCTGAGTAGTGTTGTAGAGACCAGATGTTGCCCATGCAGCATAATCCTTCTCTTGGCCTGCCTTGTTAACTCCAGTGAAAAGGTAACACCAATACTGAAACCCAGCGATTTGACTGTATTTGTGTTGATTTTGTTTTCTGCAGATTTCCTTGGCCGAACTGAAGTTAGAATAAAAGATGTGCTTCATGAGAGTGGCGAGAGACGTGGACCAATCACAAAGAGACTTATCCTACATGAAGTTGAAACAGGGGAGGTGGTCGTCAAGCTAGATCTGCAGCTGTATGAATCATAGCACAGCACGGTTAACATTCCTGTAGCGTTTTGTTTTTGTCCTAGTTAGAAATCTTTGGATGCCTTTTTTGGCGTAAATATTTGTTAAGTGTCAAATGGTCGGCTGCAATCATTTTAATCCCCACATGACTTGCCATGTTTTATTACAAGTCACTACTGTGTTTTCTTAACTAATTATTTGTCTGTCAGGTTTATCCACTGCATATCAGTATAGCTTTTGTGACTCTTTGTATGTAAACTTATTCTTCACAGATCACCATTATAGATTTGTATGCTAAAATTAGTCTGTCATGGGAACTTTTCAAAGTTTTGGTTTTTATCAGGGTGGTCATCAGTTGTGGTAATGATTTCAGAATGTTAAGGACTCATTTTACCAGGTTCAAGCATGCACATGGTAGCATCTGTTTTATCACTTTTAAATAAGAAAATTTGAATTATTTAATCCTCTACCTTGGTAGAGGTACCTGTCGACCGAGGGGTTTGAACATGGAAAAACAGTACAACTGCTCATCTTCTTTTTCACTTCCTCTTTTACAATTTTAGGTGTTGAGGGATAATTTAATTTTTCATTATTTCATTAATCTCTTCTGTTTTATTTCCCAGGCCAAAGGTGTTAAATGTTGCAATCTTGTATTTGACTTTCCTGTTTTGTAGCCCTTAACGTTGTCATGGTTAAATGCTGTGTGATCAGTTCATTTTTATCTCTTCTCTGTAGCAATAATAAATCCATAGCGGCTTTCTAGGCCCGTTGCAACTTCACCAAAGACCCATTGGCCAGGAAATTGGGGGGGGGGGGGATGGGGAGGTCAAGGAATGCTGTCATGAGTGCAATAGCGGATCTATGGCACAAGGCCACACCATACTTCACAAAATTCTAGCAGTCCCCTACTTTATCCTGTTCACCCCCTTTCATGATGCGGTGTGGGACTGGACTTTGAGAGGCACAACTGCTCATACCCTGCTTACATTGATGTAGCTCCTGTACTAGACACACACAAAAGTCATGCTTTGCCCCAATACTAGTGCTCAGTATAGTTATTAGAGAGTGCATCTGTGATTGTGTTATCCTGTCTACGTGTCTAGTCAGTCTACTGACAGGATATCTACCTGGCTGCTTCAGGATACTAAGCTAAGTGATTTTGTGCATTTGTATGGTATTGTTTTATTTATGTATGTGCTAATGAAGTCTCCATAGCCGCAACATTCACGTTTTGTTTGTGTTCGTATATTGTGAAGCTTGATGATATACTTTTCCTACAGTTTTATATCTTTTCTATGATTGTGTGAAACATTCCACAAATGTGTGTTGTCAGGTAAGGTACTGTTGAAATAGTGTTAAGAAATAGATAAGCTGAGATAGCGTAATGGTTATTGATTTTCACTTGCCTATGTAGTGTGATTGGAGCTGCCATGGTGTAGTGGCTAGCTGCTTGCCTCGGGCCCACAGGTTGTAAGGTCCAATCCGCATAAAATGACCTTGGCTCCTAGGTCAACCCCACCAAAATGGGTACCAGGTAAAGTCATTGGAAGTAAAGATGGCCAGATTGATGTTAACCATATCACCCACTGAGTGCCGATTGGTATATAAAATATACATCTAGCACTGTATGCCCAGTGTGCCTAATTGTGGTGAAAAGCTTCCTTTATTTTTGTACTTTTACATAATGTAACAATGACGTCAGGTTCAAACTGTTTGTGGCAGATTTTATTTCAATTCAGCCAATAAAAACTGTTAACCCAACCTCCTTAAGTGTCCAGATAATGTTCAGCATTCTCTGTGAATTGGTCTATTTTTCCTGTTAAACACAAACACATATTAGAACATTCATTCACTGTGATTTCTGAATTGTTAAACATGATTTTATTACAAAACATTAATTTATATAGTGATAAAACTTACTTTGGCGTCATGTGTATCCGTGTTTAAGGGGTTTACCTAGCCAGGCGGCTAATACGCTTACAGTAAAGTTGCAGAGTTATCTGAACTGGGTAATTTTGACAGGATGTGAGGAGTATCTTCTTGAAAGGGATCTATCGTACTTAGTACATTGGCCAGTATGCTTGCCTATAAAATCGGTGGTCGCGGGTTTAAATTTCCATTTAGGCAAAAAATTTTCAGTTGACCTGGGCTCCCAGGTTGGCCTAGCTTACAAATGAATGCCAGGAAATGTTTTGGAATGTAAAGTTGTTTGATGTGATATTGATTATGTCGGCCGGTGAGTGTTATTTGTATTAGTCTGTGTAAAGGTTAGGCTTACATCACATCATCACATGCTCATTAAGCCTGAATGTATGCAAAGAAGTCCTTTACTTTTATATTCTTAGCAGCTAGACGCTCATCTGCTTGCCCGAAGATCTTCGGTTCAAATTTGTATAAAGTCATTTTTTTTTTAAATTACCTGGACTCTGACGTCCACCCAGCCTAAATTGGTGCCAGATGATGGCCTGGAAAGTAAAGGCAGCCGGCGTGATGATGATCACATCACCCTCTTGAGTGCTGATTACATCACCAATTGAGTGATGATTGATTTTAAAAAATATGAGCTTAGTATCATATTTCTGTTTTCCACTGGCTCAAAGAGTTTTTTTTATATGCTTAGATGGTAGCTTAGTATACGCCATTGTTTATTTGCTCTACATATAAAAATACAGCAAATTCTCTACTTTAGAAGGACCACAGATGGGGAAAAGGTGCATGTTAATGCTTAAATGTCATTACTCTTTTACTGCCAGTTAGTATTTTTTAACTCATTCTGTTCCAGAATGTTCTTATTAAAAATGATAAATATTTAGGTCAGAATGAGTTAAAATAATAAACTAACAGTGAAGGAGTTTAAGTAACACCTGGAGTCAAGCAGATTATTGTAACAACTAACAAGATGTAGTAGTATAATGAGCCACACAAAAAAAAAAATTATAATGTGGGTAGAACCTGACAGAAATAGTGTCAGTGGCTTGTTATCCAATCTCATGTTGGCTTGAGACAGACTGAGACAAACTCAAATCATGTCAAACTTACACAATTCAAAACAGATATTATAAGAAAAGTGCACATTGTAGTCACCAAATTATTTTTTTTTTTGCATTTTGAATATTTGTTATTTTATCAGTTATTGCAAATTAATCTTCTTCACCTTCACAGGTTGTAAACTCCAGCAGAAAGTTCTGGTTGTTCATCCACCTCTGGACTTTAGTCTTGTTCTAGAACCTGAGTTTTGTATGCACATCCATTTTACAGATTTGATTTATTTGCATGCAGGCTGCTGGTTCTTTGCCTCAGGCATATGAACTCTTGATTTAGAAGGATGGCCCCTGTTAGTCAACTCTTGCTTCTTGGAGAAGCAGTGGGTCTGTTCTTGTTTTCCCCACAATGGGCCACTGGAACCCACACGGGGAATCACTAATTAATGTAGCACATAGTTTTAGTAATTATCCATAAAATCTCAGATGTGTTTTATCCTGGTCCTTTAAATCAAGAGTTTACTGTATTTAAATGTTAATAGTATTGAAGAAGTTATTTTTTGTTTGTTTATATGTTACAACCAATCACTAATGTGTGCCAATCACTATTTTTTGTTTGTTTCCTGCCACATTAATTTTATGGTAATTGTTTTAAATAACTGCAATATTCAGGTTAATGTAAGAACAGTTAAGCTTTTCTTTAAATTTGTTTACAGTTGTATTTGTTTGTCTGATGCTGCTGTCAGATTTTGTTGTAATGTGTATATCATTAGTACAGCTATACTTTCAGTTGTAGATTGTAGACTTCTGCTTATTACTGTCAAGTGTCTTACCATTTGGAGTGGGTAATAATGTTTATTCACAATCACAACCCAGTAGGGCATTGGTCCCCAAGTAGCAAAGACCTGCGGACATCTTTTTTTATTTTTTTGAAGGTCTACCATGAACCCCATATGTTTCTCAACAGGTAACTGACAGTGATAGACTTTCACACTGAAAAACTTATTATAATTTACAAAAATTATAACTTAAAAAATGATTGTATTCTTAATTTAAGGTGTGTGCGCTTGCATGGAATCTTTCTTTTAGTGCAATATACAGATCCAAAAAAGGATGTCTTTACCATTCTATGATAAAATGTTAACAGAGCAGTATTTCCCACATAGTTTTGCTTTACAGGTGGAAACCCTGTAATCAGTCTTCCAGGAGGCTGTAAATAAAAGACCCTTTCATGCGCCTGGATTTTTCAAACCTAATGGCTTGCTAGGTGTATAATGAAGCCTCAAATTTTGAAACCAACTGGCACTTGATGGGTGATGTGGTCAGCTTCAAACCAGCCACCTTTACTTCCCACAACATTGTCTGCATTTCTCGATGGGTACATTTTTTTCTTTCTAAAAATTGTCTGCTGTAATCAGAAAGGACATTGTCTCCAGTAGATAGTTTAAAATGTAATTATGTATAGATATCAGATGTAATTAAGCTCTGAATGTTTTAATTAGTTGTACTTTCAGATATATGCAATTGCTACATACTGTAGTATTGCTGTACTATCAGATAAAAAAGTTCTTCATATTCTAGTATATTTGTACTTTCAGATGTACACAAGCTCTACATTTTCTAGTATAGTTGTACTATCGGATAAACACAAGCTCTACATTTTCTAGTATAGTTGTACTGTCGGATGTACACAAGCTCTACATATTCTAGTATAGCTGTACAATTAAATAAACACAGGCTGTACATTTTCTAGTATAGCTAAAGGTAAAGTCGGGAGATGTGAACCAGTGTCATTGCACACAGTTATAAACCATTAGTTTTCTGCCACCAGTATGGACAGTTGATAAGAAATGTCCGCCTGTGTCGCCGTTCGCTCGTAACTCTGTAGCTACAGCGGCGTTCCTCCATTTACCCCAGAGTTTCAACTCAGGTACCCATTTCCTAGAGGCTGGGTGAACCCCGGGAGCCGCCCGGTTTCGAACACCGACCGTGGGCTGCAGCGAGTCGCAGCTGGATTTGAAAGCAAGCCTCTTGTCGACT